AGCTTGAGAAATAGGAGAATTAAAGAAATTTCTACTAGGGTGGAGCCGGCCACCGAGTTTTTTTTTAACAGCACACACTGTGGTAAACCATTCGGTTCATATTGTTTTTGCCAAAGTCAGTCCTGTGTGTGGTTTCGGTACACCGCTTGGGTAACTGTTGAAACTGCTGTGGTTTGAAAATAAGTTCTATTTTGCCTTTTCTTCAATCTTACATTCCTCGTGCCCCTGTTAATGAAGACTCGCCGTGGGTGTCGCGTGAACACCCGGGGGGTCTTTAACTTCATCCATGTTTATTCTCTGCCTTCTGCTGTGCCGCGGGGCCAGGCGGCTCCCGCCACCAAGACCCGGGAACGATGGTACCAACCGTGTGCGGCCATCGTGCTGGCTAGTTTTTAATACCAATTTTTTTTGTTGTTTTTTTAACAAATGATTTCCGACCCCTTCTCCCACGCACACCTCCCTAAAGATCCCGGAGCTGGGACAGAGCACTAAAAGCCCCGGCTCCAGCTGCATTGTCGTGCATTTGTTTCAGGGCTCAGAGGCGTCTTAAAGTCACTTTGTCACGTTTGAGATAAGCTATACTTCAGAAAAATCGGAAAAACGATTAAGGAGTTAGCAGAAGTGGTTACATAAAAGCAGGAACTAGACCCAGTATGTTTTAAAAGTACAGTTGCTAAAAATAAATCGATGCGCAAAAGTGGGAAGTTTGGGCCAAGGGCAGCACCCCCCGCAGGGGGGGCTCCGGCCTCTTTGCACAGAGTCTCTGATCAGCAGCCGGGTCTGAAGCTGGACAGGGGGCTCAGCGACCTTGAACGTGTCGGGTCCGATACCGCCTCTGGGTCAAAGTGCAAACACAGACACCCAAGAAAAACCGTTTTTCCCCCCTCTCTGAAAACAAGAGGTGAGCAGTTGATGTGCCCTGGTTTCATATTACCATTGTCATGATTTCTAAATAACAATGGTTTCAGCAACAGAGCTAAACCGGGCCAGGCAGTTCTTGGTGTGAACGGAGCTTTCATCTCGTCAGTAATCTCTTCACTCGTCAGAAACCTCAGCTCGAAATTGTAGCGGGCTGGATTCTTCAACCGCCCCTCCCCAAAAACAGTTTTTTTTTTAATCCCCCAAACCAAGGGAGGAAGATCTTCTTCTCTGAAAAGAAGAAAAACAGCTCAGAAATGACAAATTTATTTGAACCTCTGCACCACGGTGGTCACTGTTGGGGGGCCTGGCTGGGGTCAGCCTCCTCTTACCCCCCTGCCCAGACAGTCGCAGGTCTGCCCCAGGTGGTCAGACCCCGCAGGAGGTCCCGGGGCTGCACCACGCCCTGGGACTTTCAGCCTGTCCCCTGCAAATGCTCCCTGTTTCCTCTGCTAGAATTTTGTCATTAGATCCACATGATCTAAGTATTTGAGAGACAATTGGCCCAAGCACCAGCAGTCAGTATTGTTCTTTCCTGCAGACAAGGGAGGCCTGGTGCTTTCATTCCCTCCTGGTTCCCCAGAGGTGTCACCCAAAGGACCCTGGGTCCCTCGGGACCCGTGGAGTCTGTGTGGGCAGCACCTGGCTCACGAGGACCCGCTGAAGCCTGTTGCACACGGAGCCCCAGGCTGGCCGGCACCAGGGACACAGGGCAGTATTGCCTGGCACCTGCGCTGTGCTTAGCCCTGCCCTTACGGAGCTGGCCCTTCCGCGTGCCAGAGGACAGAGCCGCTTGGGTCCCTGGCGGAGAGGGGGGCTTCCAGGTGAAGGGAGAGGCCGTGCAGAGGCAGGCAGCGGCGCGAGAGACCAGCTGCGGCCAGTCCCTTCCTCACGCAAACCCAGGGGAGTACAGGACGTGCCGTCTGCCAGGGCGCCCCTGCCCATGGCCGTGGTGTCTCCATGCACACACCTGCTTCTGGTCAACCATGCCCTCTCCTGGCCCCTGCATGATCCCGCTGGGCAGCCAGGCAGCTTTAACAGCTGACAGCGATTCCCGAAACTCCAAGTTCAAGGTGTGGGCAGGGGTGGTTCTCCTGAGCCCTCCCTCCTTGTGTGGTCGTCTGTGTGTGTGTGTGTGTGTGTGTGTGTGTGTGTGTGTGTGTCTCCGTCTTGAGCTCCTCCTCCTGTGAGGACAGCAGTCACTGGGCCGGGCCCACCCCGACAACCTCCTTTTCATGTAATCGCTTCTTGGCAGAGTCTGTCCCCAAATGCAGTCGTGTCCTGAGTTATGGGGTGTTAGAACTTGAACATGTGACTTTGGGGGGTGGTGGCATAGTTCAGCCCTTTTCTCGAATTAGGAAATTGAGGCTGAGAGTGGCCTTGCAAGGCCGAGGGGGTGGCAGCTGTGCCCCTCACCGTCCTCAGGGGGCACATCTGCCCCACCCCACGCAGGGCAGAGCCAAGCACAGGTGTGACGGGGGTGGGGTCGTTAGGGGGTTCCTCAAGGGGCTTCCACCAGACAGTGCTGCCTGCGATGACGTTTGAGTTAGGAGTGCCTTCTGGGCAGAGCCAGGAAAGAAGCCCCGGGTTTGGGGGTTACTGGGGAGGGCTGTCGGGAGAGAGGCTGGTGCCGGTCGTTGGGGTCTTCCCGATTCACAGGGATGTGTCGGCCCGAGGTGGGGCAGGGGTACGACCGAGTGTGCGTTTTAGAAAGCTTCATTCAGCGGAGGGATCTGAGCGTCAGGCCCTGCTCTAGGCGGGGGGACACAAGGGTGGACACCAGCTCCCCCAGCCTCCTAGAGCTGCCCGAAAGAGAGAGAAAATGGGCAGTTAAGTGACCTGGCAACAGGGCTGTGTGGCACGGGCTGCAGAGACAGCAGACTGGGAGGCGTCTTCGCAGACGTGGTGTGTGGGGGTGGGGGTGGCCCGATGGCTGCTTCCAGGTGATACTAGAAGGACCAGAGCCAGGTGGAGGCGAGGGGGCTGGGTCATCCCAGAGCCGTGGGGAGGCCTGGGGAGGGAAGGAAGAGCCACTCTGCCGGTGGGTTTGGCCCAGGGGAGGGAGCCGAGGTGGGAGAGCTGGAGGTGGCGCACCCAGGACAGCACGGGGTCCACAGAGCCCTCCCGCAGAGCTGCCTGTCCCCCTCTGAAGGAGCAGGGGGTGCGCCTGGCGCAGGGGTTGCCTGGGTGGGGCAGTTCTTCAAGGCCAGCTGGACGGACCAGGGGGCCGTGGCCAGGCCAGACCACCCTGCTCTCTGCAGGCCCAGAGAGTTCGGGGGTGCAGGGAGGAGGAGGAGGAGGGAAGACAGCACAGAGCGAAGGCGGGAGGGGCAATTGGGGACAAGAGAGAACGGACAGGACATAGAAGGCTCTGGGCTGTGGGGACCACCCTGACAAGTCAGGTGCCGTCAGAGCGTCAGCGAGGCCCAAATTCCTGCCTGAGAGACAAAGTTCTGTTTCCAGGCCGGGCGCGGTGGCTCACACCTGTAATCCTGGCACTCTGGGAGGCTGAGGCGAGAGGATGGCTTGAGCCCAGGAGTTGGAAGTTGCAGTGAGCTGTGATTGTGCCACTGCACTCTACCCAGGTGACAGAGTAAGACTCTGTCTCAAAAAAAAAGAATTCCACTTCCAGAAGGGGGGCTGCAGGCCTGGTTCCCACCCGCCACGCAAGCGCCCGGTGCCTGCTGTGCCTGCGGGTGCAGGTCACCTCGTGTGACCCACTCCTCTTCATTGCCACTTTGCAGATAAGGACACTGAAGCCAGCTGGGAGGGAGGCGCTTGCCTTTGCCAAGGCCCCAGAGCTAACGGTGGCAGATGCAGGCTGTGACCCTGGAGCCCTTAGGGGCACCTTGGGGCCCTCAGAAATGTGGCCCTGGGTGGGTGACCTGCTGGGGAAGCAGAGAATGGCTGTGGGTCTGGGGATGGAGAGGGACGGAGGCCAGTGAGGAAGTCGCGTGTCCCCGGGCTGGGGTGCTGCAGGGGGCAGGTGCAGCCAGGAGCCAGGGTGCCCTCTCGATGCGCAGCCAGAGGGCCAGCGTCGGCCGTGGAGTGGCAGGCGGCACTTGGTTTCGTGTGTAACATCAGCTTTGGAACTCGAGGAGTCACCATGGGCAGCTCCACTAACAAGTTGGAGTCGCAGCCTCGGGTGCTGCTGAGACCAGATGGAATGTCTGGTCCCCCAGGCGCTCCGACCACCCTGGGCACCCGCCGGGTAGACAGAGCGGCACCCGTCAGGAGCGTCCGGTCAGCCTGGCGGGCCTGCAAACCACGGATCCGAGAGGCCTTCGGGTTCCTGGGGGAATGTTCCGGCATGTTGTCAGGATGCATTGGGAGAAGCCACCTGCCCTCAGGCCACACACCCCATGGTGTCACGGCCTCATTTCCCTCCCGCTCTAAACACCTGCCTCCCACCCCCTGTCGAGATGCGCCTTGCTGGGACCCAGGCATCCCGGAGTCACCTGCCCAGCAAAAGCCCAGAAAGGCTCAAACAAGCCCTGCCCCTCGGAGCTACCAGCACCGCGGGCGGCAGAACGCGATTGGTGAGCCGCCCACAGACCCCATCGCTAACACGCCTGGTGACTCCGCCGCACGGTGGAACTCACCCCTCTTCTCGTTGCAAGTGACCCCCGCCCTTTTGACTTTGAGAAGCTTGCAGTGTGTTTTTCTGCTCAGCCATGGTTTTGTGCTAACGCAGTGTGGTGGTGAATGTGTTGCCACGCTCACGCGAGTCCCTCAGCAACGCGCCTGCAGGTGAGCTTTTTAGGGACAATCCTCACGGTTTAGCTGGGGTGTATGTGCGCGCGCGCGCGCGTGTGTGTGTGTGTGTGTGTGTGTGTGTGTCATCCGAAGCGTTTCTATTGTGTCGTCCACAGCCTGTTAAGCCCCCGAGTAGAGCCAGGTGACACTGGGATTTCCCAGGGCCCGTCCCCTTAGCTGGGTGGCAGGCTGTCCCCAGAGAGGCAGAGGGTGTCAGCCAGGTCAGTTCCTCTGCTCTGTCCGTGCTGAGTCACTTATGTTTCTTTCTTTCTCCTTTTTTTTTTTCGTTTTTTGTTTTTGTTTTTGTTTTCTCCTAAACTTTCCAGGTAAAAGCACACCTGTAAGCCAGCTCGGCGCTGCAGACTTTCCCGAACCCCCCGATCCATTCCAGCCACTCGGGGCTGACAGCGGCGACCCGTTCCAAAATAAAAAGGGGTTTGGGGACCCGTTTAGTGGAAAAGATCCATTTGTCCCCTCCTCTTCAGCTAAACCTTCCAAGGCCTCTTCCTCGGGCTTTGCCGACTTCACCTCCGTAAGTTGAGTCCTCCGCCCCGCAGCTCCCCCACCCGCGCTCGCAGCTCTTCCGGGCGACTGATTTATTTATTTACTTATTTATTTTTGCGTCTTTCAATTGGCAAAGCTCCCAGCTTTTTCGTCTCTCGGTACCTCACGCCGTCTGGCCCTTGTGTTGTTTATTCGGTAATGCCGCCTCTGTAAGAAAAAGTTTCTCAATAAAAAAAGAGAGCTGCGGTTTGTATAGTCTATGACGAGGGGCACGTTTTCTTCCAGCAGGGTGGCGGAACATGCCCCCCTCTGTGCCTCACGCTGGACTCTTTGTATCAGTTCTGTCCCACGAAGGCCGTTGTGTTCACTGGTTGTTTGGAAGCCAAGAAGGCAAATGCTTCCCAAATTTGAAAACAAGATTGCGCAAGTCATGTCGGGGTCCCGCTGTCCCCAGAAAGGTCTTTGTGCACAAATTCTGATGGTTCTGCCTAGATGTGTTTTGTGTGCAGCAAGTACCAGTTGAAGGCCCCGGGCAGAACAGCAAATGAAGAGCAATTTGGGTTCTTTTGGGTTTTTTCTTAAACTTTTATTTCAGTTACCAGCTACAATGAAAAAAGGAATACAATCTAGAACAACCCACTCGGAAGCCCTTTCCTTTTGCCAAAACCAAAAAAAAGGGCTCCAAAAAGCCACTTAGAAAAGTTAAGTGCCTTTTCAGAAGCTGATCCTGGGATTTTGAAAGCCTGGCTTTGTTTCCTCCGTGCGGAAAAATATTCCAGATTGTCCAATGCCGTCGCCTGAGAGAGTCCTTCAGTCCCCTCCCCGGCGCACAGAACTCTTGTTCTCTGAGAGCTGGAGATGTCGTCCCAGAACCGGTTTCACCCTGTGTTGTGCACCCACTTTTAAAACTAGGTTTTCCTCGCGCAAATTTTTTAAGCATTTTGTTTTATCATTCGGTGTGAGATGTATTATTTATAGATGGCTATCTGTTTTAAAACAAGCCCAGCCGTATCAACGAATGAAAAACACCCGGTTTGTTTCCGAGCCATCTTGGTGACGTCCACCGTGCACGGCTGTCCTGTAGCTTATTTAAAATTGCCCAAGACCCTGACACGTTCCTGGCTCTTGGCGACCTGTAAATATTTTACGACTGCAGTTAGTTTGATTTTGTTGACAGTCGGTGCCCACCGTGGATATGTACAAAATGGTGACATTGTTAATCAAAGCCAGAAACAAAACCCGCTTTATCTAGAGTTGCTTGAATAGCACTCCGTTTATTTTCTGGTGGAAAAATATTAAATGCTGATGAAAAAAAAAGGGGGGCCGTTCACACATGACTCAGGTACTCTGTCTCGGGCAGGGAAAAGTTGGGCAAGCGAAGTTGAACGGCAGGCGGGCTTGTGTGAAGAAATGAGTGTTCTCTTTCTGAAATGAACAGTTCTATTTCCTGTGACCCCCACCCCCACCCCCAAAGGGCTCGTTTTTCGAAAACATTATTTTTAAAAAAACACCCAAGGCCTAAAGCTGTCGTTTGGCTTCCCATTTCTGGTTGTTCCAGAACAGTCGTTAGCCTTGATTTGAAAACACCCCTGGGTCATTCATCACCCTCATCTCCAGGCGAAAATCAAATTGTGCCCCGTCTAGTTCACATCTCTGCTGGTCTTCTGTTTAAAATCACCTTTTCCACTGCAAATGGCCCAGTTTTTCCGGAGGAGGTGATCAGATAGTGCAGTTTGGCCCCTTCTGGTGGGATGGGTTGAGCGAGGATGGGACCCGTCATACCATAGTCTGACAGTGCCCGTACCCATCCCTTCTGCGGGGACTCAGGACAGCTTTCCGTGTCCTTGGCATTCGGGGGCTCCACCAGTGCTGTCTGGGTTCGCCGGAGCTTGAGAATTTGTGCCAGCCCAGAAGAGGTCCCAGCTGCTTCCTCCTGGTTGAGTATTTCCACCTCCCCGCGTCCATGCGGAGAGGTCTCGAACCGCCCAGCAGATTGGCAGCGAAAACCTTTCAGGTCAGATGTTCCAAGAGTGCCGTCCAGGACGTGTTGTCACCCGTGCAGAAGCAACTCAGTCCATGTTGGCTGTCGGGGGAACCGATGTCACCCGCACGCTGCTCTCGATAACCCCCGCTGTGCCGCTCTGGAGCTTTCTAATTTGCAAGTCCCAAATTCCCATCAATGGGTTATTTGTGCTTGTAGCAGTTCATGGGAAACCTCTTCCTTCTCCAGTATTTCTTTTAAAACAAGACTTTCTGTCTCAGGCGAATGTGTTTATTAGGAAGTAGCATTTATAGGTTAGCAGAATGGTTCTTTTTCTTCCTAGTTTTTGCTACGTCTGCATTAAGAGTAGCACAAATACCAGATTGGCTGAGCTGTGCTTCGTGTTGTGACAAGTTGGATGCAGTTTCCGCATCAGAGTAAGCGCGTGAACGGGAGTGTCCTGCACACAGCCGGGTGCGTTCAGACGCCTCAGGGCGCAGGTGTCCGGCCCCAGCAAGGAGAGGCGCTTGCTGGGAGGCACCGGGCACCTCCCGCGGCCGTCCACGATGCCCTGTGTGCCAAGGCGCCAGAACTGTGATTTCCCAAGAGGCTGCAGAAATAAGACCGCGTAAGAGCGGGGGCCGTGTCTCGGAAGGGCAGCGTTCTTGTACCCACCGTGTCTCCGTTCGGTGACCACGCCAGACGGAGGCAGAGGTCGGAGCTGCTGCGGATCCCAGCGCCATTCACGCAGCCGCTGCACCCACAGGCATTCCACATCCTGGCCCATCTCAGAGTGGCCCCATCCAGGGCTACCAAGTGGTTTTTTCTCCTCGTTCGAGACACGCAGGGAGCTGCAGAGACTCTCCTGTCTGGAGACCTCGCCTGGATGTCACCGACCAACGCGCCCCGCAAGTGTGCGCAAACCTCACGATGCGAGTCTCGGTGTCGGGTTCATGAGCCGGCCCTGAACCAGCCGACGCCGAAGGCGCCTGGAACTTTCTTGTCGGCACGTTTAATTTGGAGACGCAGACCCCTCCAGCGGGAGGCTCTCCTGTGGCGTTCCGGGACGCTGGGGCCGAGCAGGGCCAGGGAAGGCCAGGCGGCCGTGGTCTGGACCCACCGGGCCTGTTACCTGGCTGGTTCTGGGCTTTGGTTCGGATCAGGGCAGCTGCTCCTGTCAGCTCCTCCCCGCACCGTCCGCGGGGCCGGCGGTGGAGGGCGAGGTCCCTGGCAGCGGCACCGTGGAACAGTTTCCACCAGCGTTTGTTGTTTTTTCCTTGTTTTTCTCCTGATGAGGTGTTGGAAAATTCTCCCAAGCATAGCGGGAGGGGACGCTTATCTGTGGCCTGTGGTGGGAACACAGAGGCTGGGAGGAGGGACCCGGCTTCAGGGATTCCGACCCAGAGATCCGTCACGCCCCCAGGCCGCGTCCTCTGGGCAGTGCCTCCGAGGAATCAGGCCTCCGCCATTCCTCTGCGGGACGTTTTCATTCATACCGGCCCCCCACACACCTGTCCCCATCTGAGTCCCCAGGCCAGGTGGAGGGAGGCCTCCTGGGCTGTGCACCCTCCATGTTGCCACATCTACCTCCAAACCAGGCTCCTCCCACCCATCCCTCCGCCACACCAGCCGTCGGGCCAGGAAACCTTCAAATACTGCCCGTCTGAAGTCACCCTGCTCGCTCGCTCGTCCCTGGAGGCTCGCTCGCTCGTCCCTGGAGCCTCCCTGGGGAGATCGCCACTCCCTTCTGGGGCCCACGGGCCCCTCCTCCCAGCCCTGCGACCCCAAGGTGGGGCACTGGGCCTCACACCTGGGACCGCACAAGGGGCAGTGCCCACCCGGCCCCCAGGGCCCGAGGCCGTCCCCTCCGTCAGTCACAGCCAATAGCCACGGCCCCCCTCGGGCCCAGGGAGGTCTGGAGTGTGGGGCCTCCCCCCGTTCCCTGGCACAGTGTCCCCAGCTGGTCAGAGGGGTGTGATGACAGTGGGCCCCGTGCCTTGGTTGTCGTGCGGGCTCAGCGCTGTGTGTGAAGTGGCCGTGAGTGTTCCCACGCGCGCCTGGGGGAGTCTGCAGGCCCCCCAGGACGGCCTGGCCCGGTGTTATCCCAGCATGCGGCGGAGCCGGCCGGAGACAGTGCTTCAGAGCGGGATGTTGATTAAGGGAAACCCTTTAAGTCCCAGGCAGGCAACAGCTTTCCCTGGGGCCAACGGCGCTGGAGGCGTCTCACGCGGGGACATCGGGGAAGCGAGGACCCACGCTAGGGGAGCGGCTTGTGGGATGTGGCTTTGCTTTTCATAGCTGAGATACTTTCAATGGTTTGAGATTTCCTGCCTCTGGATCAAGGTGGTTTTGTCCTGCCTTTTTTTTTTTTTTAAATGGTTTTAGAAAAACTGAATGTTTCAGAAAAATACCCCAATAAAAAGTCCTTATGGCAAGTAAGTGCCAGGGCTTTGGTCAACGTTCAAGTACACAGCGACCCTCAGCGTGTCGCAGAGCACGGCTGGAGGTGGGGATGCTGCGTTTCCAGACGCACGGTCATCCCTGCACCCTGGGGCTTCAGGGCCCCTCCTCGCATCTGACGCTCAGATGTGTGCCCCGAACGGGCGCGGCCGAGCCGCCCTCTCTCTGCACCTCTTGGCCACCAGCCTCTTGGAACCAGCCTGTCCTGGTTCTGTGCAGGGCACAGGGCAGCTGCTTCCTCGGAGGCCCAGAGGGTGCGGTTAAGGCCACAGTCGGCCATGTGTCCCCCCTTCCACGCCACCTTCCAGATGGGCCGTCGGGGCCCCGCTTTGCAAGTCCCCGAGAGCGGGCGGGTCACAGCCCCGGGGCCGTGTAACCCACCTGTCGCTTTTCCTTCGCAGTTTGGCAATGAGGAGCAGCAGCTGGCGTGGGCCAAGCGGGAGAGCGAGAAGGCGGAGCAGGAGCGGCTGGCGCGGCTGCGGCGGCAGGAGCAGGAGGACCTGGAGCTGGCCATCGCGCTCAGCAAGGCCGACATGCCCGCCGCCTAGGCGGGCCGGGGGCGAGGGCGGGCCGGGCGCAGGCAGCGCGAGAGGTGGCGACGCGGATGTCTATATACACACACGTACACACCCCCCCAGAGCCGTCCCCGTTCCACGCTGCGACGCGCCTCAGCCACCACGCGCCAAGGACTGGGCACCCCGCAGGGCTCCTTCCCGCGTGTAGACGCAGCTGCGGACAGAGGCTGGGAAAGGTCTCATCTCCTGGGGAGTGTCCTGCGCAGGCCACCTCGGCCCATCCCTCCACTGTGCCGTCCCCTGAGGGCTGATCGAGTCCGGCTCTTCCTCCCAGAGCGCGCGGGGCGGCCGCCGAGCCGAGGAGTGCCAAGGGCCTTCCCGCCCCGGCCCCTCACAGCCGCAGACACCCCCGCCCCCGCCCCTCCCCGCACCCAGCGAGACACACTCCCCCGGCGATGTATGCGTTCGTTGTATAAAAATGAAGTTTGAATGATTAATATAAAATATTTTAATACAAAACACGAGAATCTTCTTCCGTGTGTGTAAACGTTGTTTTCCTCGCATCAGTGTCACGGGAGCAGATCGGCCTCTGAAAAACAGGTCGAGCATTCCTGTGTCAGTGCAGAGTTTTTGGGGACACTCTAGGGCCACAGAGAAAGCCAGTTTTGGAAATTGTCCAGTTTTCCAAAATGCATCCCTGCTCCCCCGCACCCCGCACACAGACGGTCTTGGAAAGCGTTGGTCGTGGCCTCACGGCAGCCCAAGCTCGCTGACACATGGCTGCAGTTTGCTTCCCGCACGTGGTTGCCAAGGCCCTGAGTGCCCCAGGGGCAGGTCTGCACGCCACCAACCCATACCGCGAACCGGGAGCCAGAGAGCCTTCAATCAGGACACAGCTGATTCCCTTGGAACATTCTGGAAGCTCGGACATAATAGTTGGGAGGATCCCAAGAGTTATATTGCAGGTTCCCTTCCACCCCCCACCCCACTGTCCCCAAGCAGGTGAGACGTGCCAGGTTGGTCTCTTTCAGATTAAGACGGTTCAAAACCTGTGAAGTATTTCTAACCCCGGGTCAACCCCACACACCCGCCGGCAACAGAGCAGCCTGACCACCGCCGGATGTCCTTGTTCTGTGTTTCTGTGACCCACAGACTGGATCATTTATAAAGAAAAACTCATTTCACACAATTCTGGAGGTTAGGAAGCTCAACGTCAAGGCGCCGACATCTGGTGAGGGCCTTCGTGCCGCGTCACCCCGTGGCGGGAGGTGGGAGGGGATGAGGGCACGTGAGAGGTCCGAGCTCACTCTCGCAGCCACCCACGCACAGTAAGGACGGGATTCCGTCCGTGCGGCAAAGACCTGTGTGGCCCGATCACCTCCTAATATCATCCCAGTGGCGGTAACTGTCAGCACAGGCTTTGGAGGGAACATTCAAACCACAGCGCCAGGGAAACAGCAGAGAACCCGGCAGATTCACAAGGGCGGAGGTGCAATCGCCCAGAATGTTCCACCTCAAAATCAGCCCTTACTGGGAATCGAAGAGCAGGTGCAGACCCCATCCCTCCTCCTCGTACAGTGTGAGTGTGGGAGGAATTCTGCTCTTCCTCGAGAAGTCACCTCTCAGTGTTCGTTCTGTCTCTCTGGGAATGTCTTTGCCGGCTCCCTTCCCGTGGAGCAACCTGCAATGCCAGCACTCTGGGAGGCTGAGGTGGGAGGATCACTTGAGGCCAGGAGTTCGAGACCAGCCTAGCCTGGGCAACATAGTGAGATCCTGTCTCTACAAAAAATTAAAAAATTAACTGGGCGTGGTGGTGCACACCTGTAGTCCCAGCTACTCGAGAGACTGTGGCAGGAGGATCGCTTGAGCCCAGGAGTCTGAGGTTGCTGTGAGCTAGGCTGACGCCACTACACTCTAACCTGGGCAACAGCAAGACGGTCTCAAAAAAAAAAAAGAAAAAAAAAACCATAGGGAAGAGGAAATACAGTTCCTATTCCTTAAGTGGAAGTGGATCATCACAAAGGTCTTCATCCTCATCCTCCTCATGTTGAATAGGCGGAGGAGGAGGAGGAGGAGGGGAGAGGAGGGGGAGGGGGGAAGGAGGAGGATGCTCCAGGGCCCAGCCCACAGGAGGTGCTGAGCAAACACTTGTTAAGTGAATGAATGCGTGGAATGTGGCTCTACTCCACCACCAGGCCCCTGGAGACCCAGAAACAGGAGCAGATTTGCGGAGAAGAAAGCCCTGACTTTGAGGAGGGTTTCTGCTTGAGGCACTGGCTGGGAACCCGATCCTTTTCTCCTCCAATCTCTCCGTGGCCTCCCACACGCCAGGGTTCTTGTGCAGCTGGTCCTCCCCGCTGGGTTAGGAGAGGCCAGAGGGGCCTGGTGGGGGCGGAGGGCTGAGG